GACTTAGAGTCTGGGAGCAACTACCCTGGCCTTTTTAATTATTTTAAAAATTGTTTCCTTTTCCTAAGGAGACTGGTGAGGCCCCGCCTCCCCTGCCTCTTAGTGACTGCACGTCACTGGAATGGATGTAGTGTATGAATTCAGTACTGGAACAGTACCTAAGATGCTTCATCAACTACTAACAGGATCTACCCTTCTGCCCTTTGCAGAGGTTGCCTACAACAATGCAATCCACTCCAGTACCGTTTTCACCCTGTTCCTGACCAGTAGTAAGAAAAGTTCTCAAGCCAGAGCAGCCTTTAAAGCATAGGCTGACAAAAAGAGAGTAGACCCCAAGCCATTCAAAGTAGGAGATAGAGTACACTTGTCCACTAAGTTCATACAGTCCTTATAACCCTCAAAGAAACTAGGACCTAAATTCATAGGCCCTTTCCCTATTAAATGCATCATTTTATTATTTGAACTGCCTGAATCTCATGATTTCCCCTGTGCTTGACAGCCACTATACAGGCACCACAAAAACTATTGTAAAATTTGATTGGTCACATAACTGATTCATTTTATGACCATCATGACTAATGACTGTGATGGGAACACTCCACTACAATCATAACTTGAGAACTTTATATATAAACTGAATTATAGAATACAAATATAAATCACATGCTGCACAATATACTTCTTTCATGGCATTATTAGATTCATAACAATGTGAAATTACAACTGCAGTTATTTACCTGGTGTTGGCCTCTATTCGTATCAAGTTCTCAATACTATTATTATTAAAGCCAGATGGCTAAAATAGTTTTGGAATTTTTATCCACCTATCAAGTTCTTCCCAAGGACCAGTAATAGCGAGATATTGTTCTTTGTTTCTGTTATTTAATAACTGAAAAGGTTTTGCATTTATCTTTGCAAGTGAATAAATTCAATTTTACTAAGATTAAAACAGAACACATGTTAGTGCTTCCTGTCTTCATGGACAACTGAATAAAGAGTGAACTAACATTTTAATCATAAAGATTAAGATAATAATTAGTAATAATAATATTTGTTTTGAACTTGAACTAAATACATTTGTGATTATTTTATGTTCCATTTTTGTGTTTTTTTTAATTAACAGCTTCTGTCCAGGACCCATGGGAAAGGGCCATATCACCAAACAAAGTGCCCTACTATATCAAGTAAGTATTAAACACGCATAATGCTTAACCTTCGGGAGTTTATCAGGTAATTAATTTAATTTTCTTTGAAATCACGAGGGTTCCATTCCTGTGAACAATACTGGTTGATACCTCAGTTGCCGTCTATTATCATCATGAGCAGCAAAGTTATTATTTTAAAAAATAAAGTTGTGAAGATTGCTTGCTGTTAAAACTCAACTATGTTTTCATTATACAAATCGTCATGTACCTTAAACATTTTTCAGTGGTAATCAGCCTATGATTAGGCAGAATGCAGTATCCACATTAAACTGGCTGTCATGAAAGATCAACAAAATGTTAGTTAATGCATTATGACTGTATTTTTATTACTAGAAACATTATATTTTTTTCCGTGTTAAGATATCAAACTAATTTGGCCAAACTTGTACATATTGCATTTTATTTTGTGGGCAGATGTCCTGTAGCACAGGACAGGGTGTGTTTGGTAATACTGAGAGCATGTGGTGCGTTTCCTGCTGAGTAAAGTCTGAACAGCATGCAAACATCTTTTTTTGCTGACACTATGGTTAGGAGCAGAATCTACTGAACTAACAATTTTATATAAGCTTTATTTCTAGAAAAAAGCTACTTCTTAAATCTGTTTATTACATTTGGAATACAATTATACTAATATTAAAAACATATTTTATAAATTGAATATGCAGAAGTTTAAATAAGGTTATTTTAGAGTGTTGCAGAAAAATAATATGCTTCCCGATAAAATGTTTTGGCCATAAAATGGATCAATCAATTTATTTAAGCAATTTTTAAACTTTATAGCTGAAAAATATATTTTGGATTCTAGATTATATAATATTGCTTTGATAATGAAAAACAGATGCTACCTAGCTTGGTGTGACGTTCCCAGAAAATGACCTAATTAATTTACAAGCCTCAAGACAAAGTTCAAAAGAAATCCATTCATTTATTAGGATCAACATTCTGGCATATACTCCTGCGGAGCCAAAACTGGCTTCTGCTTAATTGCATTTGAACTTTACCCCTTTATCTCCTCCGTTCTATCATGTTCAAATGTTTTATTTTCATTTTCATTTTCAATTCATACAGTCACTTATATACTGTGCATAACCGGGGCCATATAACATTGAACAATAACCACAGCCATCCTTGTCAAAAATACTCCCCAAAATACAAGCCCAATAGAGTAGACCACTTCAACCCTCCATACACCCTTTCTTTCACCCCCCTCCAACTTTCCTTTCTCCCCTCCAACATTCCCCT